GAGGGTAAGCAGTTGAAATTTCATTCTAAAACCCATATTTTTTTTGTCTTTTCATGGTTTATGATCTATCAAATTTGTAGTTTTCTTTATTGGTTTTGAGTGTTTATCTTGAAACTCAAGTTTCTTGGTTCTTTGCTCCTGGTGTAAATCGAACACATTTGTGGAGTCGTTTAAATATGTTAGATTTTATATATATTGGATTTTAAATTGTCATATAATTTTTTTCATCGATAGTCTGTAATTGGAACCATAACTCTTATTTATTCAAATTGTATTAATATGTAAAGACCAAATGTAACATATATCATCGTTAAATCTTATCTTATAAAACCAGTGGAACTTCAAAATCGTTAAAATTCATGGCTCCCGCCGCATTGCGCGGGTACACAACTAGTATAAAAAACAACACCACTTCATGATCCTTCTTATGGCACTCTATGAGCGATATGAACCCGTACGAGCTCCACTTTTGCATCGCTCTCCTCTTCCCACACTTAGGGCTGCCATTTCTGAACTCATTTCATCCAGATAAGGGAGTACCTGTTGCTACTTCATCTAATGATGGATTTTTGTTCACTCCAACTCACAAAGCTAATTGAAAGTTCATAGGAAACAAACAACCTACTTTGGGTAACAAGAGACCTTCAGAATGTGCTTTCTTTCATGATACCGGTCATCAACTGTTGTACTGCCCTGACCATTCCTGCAGATCTTGTGAGAAGAAAAGTCCTAGGCATTATGCATCTGATTGTTTCAAGAACCCAAACCACAACAAAGCTCTCACTAGAAGTACTATGGATAATGATTTATCTACCATGCCTTCACGCTTCTCACAAGCTCAAAAGTCTACTACCTTCACTTCTAATGATACGACTGAACTCATGAAACAGATGATGTGTAATTTTTCACACACCATGGATACTGCTCTTGCTCAAGGTACTTCTTGGTTATTCGACGCTGGTTGTTGCAATCACATGACACAAACTGTGATGTCTTTATCACAAAGACACCAAGTATATCTTTATCTATTGTTACTACTGTCGATGGAACTCAACTACCAGTTCAACATGAAGGCTATGTTTCCACCCCTCACTTGACTTTACCCAATACACTTTACATTCCTGAACTCTCAGTTAGTCTTATCTCAATTAGCCAACTTTGTTTTAGACTTGAAAGAGTGAAGAAACAGGGAGTCATGAACATAGAGAAAGAAGGGGATGAAAATGATATTATTACAGGGAAAAAGAAATAAACAGAAAAGAAATAAACAGTAACAACCAGCTAACCGACTAACAAACTTCAACATCCCCCTCAAGCTGGTGGTTGCGATAACAAACCCAGCTTGCGTATCAAAACAGAATGTGTTGTTCACTAAGAGGTTTAGTGAAAATATCGGCTAATTGAGAAGACGAGGGTGTAAAATCCAGAGCAATATCCAGAGCAATAACACCAGCCTGTAATTGTTGCCGAACATAATAACAGTCTAACTCAATATGCTTGGTCTGTTCATGGAAAATAGGATTCTTCGCAATGTGTATACTCGCCATATTATCACATTTTAAAGCAATAGGAGTGATATTATCGACCCCTAAATCGAATAAGAGACGACTTAACCATGTCAATTCACTGGTTATCCTTCTCATTGATTGAAACTCAGCTTCAGCGGATGACAAAGAAACAGTTACCTGTTTTTTAGATTTCCAAGATATCGGACTACCTCCCAGAAGAACAAAATAGCCACTAACAGATCTTCGTGAAAACAGACAGGATGCCTAATCACAGTAAGCCGTTAGACTTAAATCTGATGTATTATTGAACATCAACCCGTAAGAGCAGAACACCCGAAGATACTTCAAAACATGAATAGCAGCATCCCAATGTGCTTTCGAGGGTCGCTGATTAAATTGACTGAGAAATTGGACACTGTAAGCTATATCCGGACGAGTATGAACCAAAAAATTCAGCTTTCCAACAAGCTATCGATAGGCAGTAGCATCAGGTAAGAGATCTGGCATGTCGGGCAACAGTTTTATATTATTCGGCAAGGGTGAAACCACATTCCCAGCATCAAAAATCTCATATTCTTTAAGTAAATCAATGAGATACTTTTTCTGTGTTAAAAACATTCCTTGAGAACCTTCAAGAAACTCAAGACCAAGAAAGTAATTGAGTTTACCCAGATCCTTGATCTTAAAAAGATCATGTAAGTATTGATTCAATTCAATAATCTCTGAAAAAGAATCGCCTGTGACAATTACATCATCCACATAAACAGCCACAATGATAAACGAAGTAGAAGTCTTTCGTAARAATAACGAGTAATCATTCTTAGAATTTTCAAATCCCTTTACTCGTAAAGCATCAGCTAACTTTGAGTACCACTGCCTAGAAGCCTGATTGAGACCATAAAGAGATTTAGTAAGTTTACAAACATAGTTCRGATCTGAACATACCATTCCCTTCGGTCTCTTCATATATACCTCTTCATGTAAATCACCATGAAGGAAAGCATTATTGATGTCTAGCTGATGTATATCCCACTTTCTTTTAACAGCAAGAGCTACTATACAACGTATAGTAGTGAATTTAACCACGGGAGAAAACATTTCATGATAGTCTTCATTAGCACGTTGTATAAATCCTTGAGCCACGAGTCGTGCCTTATACCTTTCAACAGTCCCATCTTTATTAAACTTGGTTTTGTAAACCCATTTGCAACCTATTGCACGTTTTCCTTTGGGTAATGGAACAAGTTTCCATGTTTGATTAGCTTCTAGAGCAGCAAATTCTTTAGCCATTGCTTCTTGCCAACAAGGACTTTTGATAGCTTCTTCATAATTTTTCGGTTCTACAACATAAACTATATTGGCAATAAAACATTGACTAGCATTATTCAAAACAGTGAAACATAAATTCTGAGCATCAAAACACATGTTAGTCATTGTATGAGGACAAATATCAAAAAACAGACTCTGAATAATCAGAATGTGCTTGATTACAAACAAAATCATCAAGCCAATTGGGTGGTTTATGAGCACATGTAGATTTACGAGGAACAAAAGAATCAGGAATATGAGAAGAATTTTCTGATCCATGATTGAAAGTATTATCAACAGAATTTTGTGGTGTAGGAGATTGTGATGTAGGAGATTGTGGTGTAGGAGAAGTTTGTGAAGATGAAGTTGAAGACTGAGTAGGACAATATTGAAATGTATCTGAGACAGGTACAGGAAGAGGAATATCAGAACACAAAGGTGAAGTACAATTAGAATCCTTAAGAAAAGGAAAGACAGATTCACAAAATCTAATATCTCGAGAATATGAGATTTGCATGGTATTCAAATCCATGACTTTATAAGCTTTTTTACCAAAAGGATATCCCAGAAAAATATGTGGGTTAGCTCTTGATTGAAATTTATGTCGATTAACAGGAAGAGTAGACACAAAACAAAGACAACCAAAAGTACGGATATGTTGAAGCTCAGGTTTACATTTGAATAGAACTTCAAAAGGTGTGCAATGATCAAGAACTTTGGTTGGAGTTCTGTTTATGAGATAGGCTGCTGTTAAAATGCTATCACCCCAAAACTTTAAGGGTAATCCAGACTGAATGATTAGTGAACGAGCAACTTCCAATAAATGTTTGTGTTTTCGTTCTACTAAACCATTTTGTTGTGGAGTATAGGGACAAGACAATTGATGAATAATGCCTTTGGAAGTATAGAAAGCTTTCCCTTCTTGACTACTTCCTAATTCCTTAGCATTGTCGGAACGAATGATTTTGATGGTTTTGTGAAACTGAGTTTGAACAAATTGAACAAAGGATTGAATAACTGAGAAGGCTGACCCTTTGTGACTTAGTAAATATATCCAAGTGGTACGACTATGATCATCAACAAGAGTGAGAAAGTATTTATGACCATCATATGTTGGAGTATGAAAGGGACCCCAAACATCAACATGAACAAGATCAAAAATATCAATAGATTTAGTATGGCGTTCAAGAAATGGCAATCGATGTTGTTTAGCTTTATGACAAGTAACACATGAATGAAACATGTTCTTCTTACATTTAGAAGAAACAAGGTTCAACTGTATGAGTTTATTCATTGGAATATGACCAAAACGTAAATGCCATAACGAACAGAGTTTATCAAATGAATTAGAAACAACATGATTTGAAACAGAATGAACATCAGAAAAACTATGATTGAGATCTTCAGGATTCAAAAAATACAAGCCTCCCTTTCTTTTACCAAGTGCCAAGAGATTCTTGGTGAGAGGGTCTTGCATACAACAATCCAAATCAGAGAAAATAAGACGAGTTTGATGTTGAGCAATGAATTTAGTGACCAATAAAAGATTACAATGAAATGTAGGAACAAACAAGACTTGAGAAAGACATAACCAAGACGAAAGAGACACATTTCCTACATATTCAACAAACAAAACATTACCATTCGGTAAAGACACTTTATGAGGTTTAGATAGTTTTGTGATTGAAGTGAACATGGAATAATGACTACACATATGATCAGATGCACCATAATCTATTATCCACAGCTTTGAAAGAAAAGAAGTCAAAGTTGAATTACCTGCACATGCTGCAAAGCCATTAACAGCTTCTGTGAAAGAATTTTCAGATTCTTCAGGTTTTCGAGAAGTAGGAGTTGAATCAACAACCTTCCATTGCTTTAGAAAGCTCATCAACTGATTATAATATTTGCTTGACAATTCTGTGTTTCCACCAGCCAAGTCCTTCATATTAATTTCATCTCTGATGGTAACATTAGTAGCAGATTTTCTTGAATTTGTGAACTTGAAGTGATGTGGAAAACCAATCAGCCTATAGCATTCTGATTTAGTGTGCCCCTTCTTCTTGCAATAATTGCAGATCAAAGCTTTTCTTGTATCATTGTTAACAACAAATTTGTTCTGATTATTCTTGACATGCATTGCTGCACCCTGTCAATATTCAACTTCATCGGGGCTGTGACTTCTCATTGTTGCTTTTCTAGAATAAGAATTGCATATGCTTCTGCAAGAACAGGAGTAGGTTTCCTGTGTAAAATGCTTCCTCTTGTTGAAGCATAACTATCATTTAGGCCAAACAAGAATTGAACTAATTGTTGTCTGTCCATACGTTTCAGCCAAGCTTCTCCTGTTGTGCAGCTACAATCAGGCATTTCATCTACAAAAGCAAATTCATCCCAGATTTGTTTGAATTTGGTATAATATGTTGTCACATAATCAGCCCCTTGCGATATGAGATTCAATTCTTTCTACAATTGAAAAACAACAACAAGATTTGACTGCTCATACATATGATGCAGTTCATTCCAAATCGCTTTTGCAGAAGTATGATAGATCAAGCTTTCTGAAATTTCTGGACTGATAGCATTCAAGATCCATGTAATCACAATTGAGTTGCATCTCTCCCAATCTTCGTAGCCTGGATCATCTTCATCAGGTTTCTTAGTTCTACTAGTAACAAAACCTAATTTGTTTTTAACTAATAGTGTTAATGTCATTGCTCGTTTCCAAGCACCAAACCTTTTTCCATCGAAGACTTGCGACACAATAACTGCTCCTGGATTATCTGCATGACTCAAGAACAAAGAATTTGAGTAGGCTGAGGCATTAGTTCCACTGGTGTTGATTCCAGATCCTGTCGAAGCAGAATTAGAGTTTTCATTCATCGTTATTGATAACGAATCAGATTATCAGATGACTGATAAAGAAATCAGATAGAAGAAAAGGAATCGATCAGTGATGAGAGAACAGATGATGAAGCTTAACCTTGCTCTGATACCATTTTAGACTTGAAAGAGTGAAGAAACAGGGAGTCGTGAACATAGAGAGAGAAGGGGAGGAAAATGATATTATTTCTGAATGAATGAAAAAATAATACAGGATCTCAAAGAAATAAACAGTAACAACCAACTAACCGACTAACAAACTTCAACACTTTGTGATATAGGCCTAACTGTTATTTTTTTCTCATTCTAGTTGTTGTCTACAGAATCCCAAGACAAAGCAGACTAACTATTGGGATAGGCCGTAGAACGGGTCGGATGTTTGAGATGGTCTACCTTCGCATACCCAAAACCCTTTCATCTTTTTCCCTCTCAGCATCTAATACGTCACCCAAATCTATAGATAGTTGGCATTCTCGATTAGGACATATTTCTTTTGATAGATTTAAACTACTTGTTTCATTCGGTATTTTAGGTTCTGTTAAAACTAAAAATTTGTCTTGTTTGTCATGTCAAGGAATATAATTTACACAACTAGTTCCACTAATTAAAAAAGCTACATTACAAGTAGCTACATTTTCCACAAAATCTCTACTTGTATATATAACAAGTATTCAAAATCAAAAAAATAACATGTTATCCTAAAATCCAAGCAGGCAAACATAACTCTTCAATGTTTCCTTTCCCCCTTATCAAGTTTGGTTGTGCCTAACTTGTAATGCACATTTTCAAAACACCAAAATGAGGGGTAGACCTTGAAGTCTAGTGAGAATTCCCTTTTTGTTGGCTATTACAGGGTGATTAATCACCAAACACATTTATAAACTCATATTTGTAATAATAATAATATACAACATTTTGATATAACAAACCTCTTTTTTCCCATCTAAAAGATGAGACATCACCAATTTATTGCATAAAATAACCCAAAAACTCATTTAACACATTCTAATATAATTTATCGCATCATATAGGTAAAAGGTAATTTCCTCACATCACATGGGTGAGACGACCTCATTTTCTCACAACACACTACTGTAGGGACCTCATCTCGTTGTATTATACTGATGCGATAAACCCAATTTATCGCATCATATTGGTGTGATAAGTTAACTTGTCGCATCACAAAAATATGACAAACATACTCCTCGCATCACAAGGATGCGACAACCACATTTCATCGCATCAATAGGATGCGATATCTTTAAGTCATTGCATCACATAGATGCGACAAGTCCAAGTCATCGCATCATAAGGATGAGACAACAAAGAACATTTTGATCAAAAACCCAAATTTTATATCTCAATGATTCTGCCACCCTTATCCTGGTATACACCTCTCCTTGATATGTCCCCGCTATAACCAAAATACATCTTTCCTTTATATGTCACCCTTATTTCAAGCACATGATATAACATGCCAAAATCTCAAAATTATGCTAACTAAAGCATAAAAAGAACCATACAGTTCTAATTTCAAATACCAAATAAGAAAAGTTTGCAAATAACTCACTTTATAATTCACGTAGATGAAGATATGAAGATGAATAGCAACTAATACAGTTAAGAATCACATAATCAACTTCTTTCTTTCTTCCCTTAAAGTTCTATTTTTCTCCAGCTCAAAACACACACAAAAAGTGTTTCTTCTTTTTCTTTTTTACTTCCTTAACAACCCCAATGAGATAAAAAAAATTATCTCATTATTAAACATAAACAAATAAATAGAGCGGTGGAACTTTTAAAATAATTTAGGCCAACCTACCCTTCAAGTTACCACCCTTAATAAAAAACAACCCCAAACTTTTTAATCGTTAACCCAGTTATGACACTTCAACCCTATGAACATACCAAACTTCAACCTCGTTCTCGTCTCCATTGTTTTTTGGAATACTGTATTGAACAAAGGGATATCGATGTTGGAATCCTGTCTCCAAACGTCTTCGTATCTTTCGCCATGTCGTATACAGGGAACACAAGATTTTTTTTCTCCATTTCACATTTTCAATCCCAATCTGAGTCTCCATCTCCTTTCTTCCTTGATATATCCATCCACTTGTTTTAATAAATGTATTTGCCACCCATTCCAAACTTAGAGAATGAAGTCCTTCTCGATTTCTCAGTCTTCTACTCATTAGTCACCAACTCAAACACCTAACCACTCATCACAAGACCCCTATATCTTCTCCTTCCTAATCATCTTCTGACACACCCGATTAATCTTCACCAACATCTTCATTTGATTTCTCCTCGATGAACTTTTCTGAAACATTTGTTTCTCCCGATGATCCTACTACAGATCAACTCGATGATCCCACCTTCGTGATTATAAATGCTATTCTACCTTATTCTCTTCATATACCCCGTCTTCATACAAAGAAGCATCTACTGACCCACTTTGGCAGAAAGCCATTAATGAAGAATTACAGACTCTTAATAAGGATCAAACATGGAATATTGTACCTCTTCCATTTGGAAAGTGTCATCGGTTCCAAGCACGTATCCAAAGTTAAGACAAGGTCATATGGGTCAGTTGATTGCTACAAAGCAGGTTAGTAGCAAAAGGGTTCAATTAGGAATATGGCATTGACTATAAGGAGACTTTTGCACCAACTTCACTTGTCACATTAGTTCGTAGTCTTCTCGCCATTGTAGTTGTATGCAAATGGAACTCTATAAAATGGATGTTAAGAATGCATTCCTTAATGGTGAACTCTGATGAAGTTTATATGAAATCTCCTCCCGAGGTGCCTCATCAGCCCAGTTATGCTTTATAGCTTAAGAAAGGCTCTTTATGGTCTCAAACAGGCACCTAGAGCCTGGATTGAAAAGTTCAGCACAACCATCCAATCCTTGGGTTTCACAGCCATAAACCATGATTCAGGTCTCTTTACCAGAACTACTGATGCTGGTAACATTCTCCTCCTTTTGTATGTTGATGATATGATCATCACAGGTAGTGACACACAGGGCATCATCAAGTTGAAGAAGTCTCTCAATCAACACTTTGAAATGAAAGACTTGGGATTACTTTATTATTTTCTAGGTCTTGAGTTACTTACCTAAAATGATGGTATCTATCTATGTCAAGCCAAATATGCTTTAGATCTTATCTCTCTAGCTGGTATCATCGATAATAAAGTTGCATCTACATCATTACAACCTAACTTCCATTTGACACCAAGCAATGTGTTTCTTCTTTCTGACCCGACATGTTATCATCAACTTGTAGGTTCCTTGGTCTATTTGACTGTCACTCGTCTGGATCTCGCATTTGTCGTTCATATTGTTAGTCAGTTTATGGCTTTTCCTCGGACGTCTCACTACGCGACAATTTTACGGATCTTGCATGATATTAAAGGTACGATGTTCAATGGTCTATATTTCTCCTCATCTTCATCACTCAAACTTTGTTCTTTCTCTGATGTTGATTGGGATGATGATATCACTAATCGTCTTTCTACAACCGGTTACTATTTCTCCTAAGCATCCTCTCACCCAATTGTCCACCACTTTATCCCAACTCAGTTGAAACCAAACCAAATAAAATAAACATAGCAAGTCAAATAAAAATACAATTAGGAGCTAAAGGTCCATGTTCGTATCAATTCATACCCCATTAAGAATGACCTTTTCCACAAGGTCGAGAAAAAAAACAACTAGGATTTCATCCCGATTCTCCCAAGTAGCTTTTGAAATGTTGCATGTATGGATCCTCAGTCATGGTCGTAAAAGACATCTCTACCCCAGTGTTGTCTATAGTAACCATACCTATATATAAGTTATGGTTTTGATTAGGAGTAGGTCTGGTTAGGGGCATGTTGTCCTATGGTGTCGACGGCTCATGACACTCGATCATTAGGAATTGGGTGGTTGCAACAGTGCCCTAGATTGAACTTATCGAGACACCTGAAACATAAACCTTACGCCTTCCAAGAGACGAGTTAAAAGAGACTGTAGATTTAATTGGAGGTGCTGGAAGAAGGGTTGATATGGGAGGCGGAAAGTGTGTACAATTGGTAGGGGTCGATAATCAGCACTCTTGCCTTCAATAACCTTGGCAAGACCGATAGCCTAGTCATCATTTGTGTCTTGTGAATAGCAAACTCTTGACTGAGGTCCCTCCATACCCCAAGATAAAAAAGTTGAGTGAAGCCTCCTAAGGTAACCCGTTGACACAATTACTAAGCCTCTCAAACTCAGTTGGATAGGCTGTCACTGTGGAGATTTGTTGTAGTTTAAACAAGGTGTCTAGTGGTTTTCATACGTCGAAGGACCAAAACACAGTTCCATGGGTCGCGTGAACCAATCTCATGATTTAAGAAACCAATTGTTGAAAATGTATTTATACCAACATAGGGCATCACCATCAAAATAAAAGGATGCAAGTGACAAACGTTGCTTGGGAGAGATTTCAATGAACCAAAAGTACTGCTCCACTTGGAAGAGCCAATCCAGCAGGTTAGATCAGTCAAATGTTGGAAAATGGATCGTAGGTGGTTTAAGGGGTAGGTTATGATGCAGAATACGAACGATGAAGAATGACTCATCGACATGGGTTTATCAGAGGTAGGTGCCCAGTTGTTGAGAGCTGCCGTGATGGTGAAAGAAATGGTGATAGCTAAATCTTCTCGGTTTTGATTGAAATATGCTCAAAGCTTGGAGTAAGATTTTCAGTGAGTTGAGCCATGAACTCTTCGTACATCCTTGCATGGTGGAATACTTTTATACTCTCAATGAAAGCAGCAACGTTACAAATCGATTCGAGATGGGTAATCTCTAGAATAGGTAAAGAAGAAGAGGTTGAAACTTTCCTTACTTGAATTCCAAAAAGAAAAGATACAAGCATTTTAATACAATAACTCATAAGTATGATCATCTCTCATGACCATGATACTCCTATTTCTCCTAAGCATCCTCTCACTCAATTGTCCACCACTCTA